CCAAGGGAAGCACCTCCTGCAGTGACAGCAACTGTCTTGTAATGTCTACTGCTATGCAGAGAGAGTATCTGAATCTGGGAAGGCTTGTGCTGAGGCTGGGAAGGGACACTCTCGCTTGTACTGAGTGATACAGGAAAGGCTACATTAGCATCCTCATCTGTTCACCCTGGAGGCAGATCTAGTGTTGATAATAATTCAAAGATAAGCAGGGATAAATTAGTATCTTTAACATATTTAGATATTGAAATTATATTTAATGTGTCTCACTAGTGATATTATCCTATATTTTTTTAATGTGTCTTTTCCTTAAATTCAGAATAAATGAAGGTTGTAATGTTAAAGTAAGGTTGGTGATATGAGAACACACATTTAGATGAGTAAGTTTTATTCTTACCTACTCATTAGTGTGCAGGAAATGATTTTGTGTTTAATGACTAAACTTGGTTTAATGGTTAGTTAAAAAACGAGAGTTAGTACGCTTAAGAAAGTTGTCCAATAATGGTTTAAAATTGTTTTTTAATTTTCTTTTAATAAAGTCTTTTTTCTTGGAGAAATGCAAGTGTTCAAATTGACTACGTTGAAATGCTAATAAAAAATCGCAGTATAGCTAGAAATTAAAAAAAAATTGAATGCTTTCTTTGGAGTCAAAACACATTGGACATAGTATGTGTCACTGGCTCTTTATTTTCATTTATGAACTAAGTTTCAGATAGACAATTGTATGATAATATTGTCAGCCTATAAAAGAAGTTTGTTAAAATGTAAGAAGATTAAAAAGGCAGATATCCTGTTTGGAGTCTGTTATATGCCACTCAACCAGGATAAAGAGGCAGATGAAATATTCTATAAGCAGCTGGGAGAAGTCTCATGGTCACTGGCCCTTGTTCTCATGGGGGATTTTAACTTATCAGATGTCTGTTGGAAATACAACATAGCAGACAAGAAACTGTCTAGGAGGTTCCTGGAGTGTGTGAAAGAGAACTTTCTGGCACAGCTGGTAAATGAGCCAACCAGGGGAGGTGCCTGCTGGACCTGCTGTTTGTGAACTGAGAAGGACTGGTGATGTGACGGTTGGAGGCCATGGTGATCAGGACAGGGGGATCGAGTCCACCCTCAGCAAGTTCACAGATGACACTGAGCTGGGTGGGAGTGTTGATCTGCTGGAGGGTAGGAAGGCTTTGCAGAGGGATCTGGACAGGCTGGATCGATGGGCTGAGGCCAGCTGTATGAGGTTCAACAAGGCCAAGTGCTGGGTCGTGCATTTGGGTCACAACAATCCCAGGCAGTGCTACAGGCTGGGGGAAGGGTGCTGGAAGCTGCCCAGTGGAAAAGAACCTGGGGATGCTGGTCAACAGTGGGTGAACATGAGCCAGCAGTGTGGCCAGGTGGCCAAGAAGGCCAATGGCACCCTGGCCTGTATCAGCAGTAGTGTGGCCAGCAGGACCAGGGCAGTGATCGTCTCCCCTGTACTTGGCACTGGTGAGGCCACACCTCGAATCCTGTGTTTGGTTTTGGGCCTGACACAACAAGAAAGACATTGAGGTGCTGGAGCATGTCCAGAGAAGGGCAATGGAGCTGGGGAAGGGCGTGGAGCACAAGTCTTATGAAAACCATCTGAGGTAGCTGGGGCTGGTTAGCCTGGAAAAAGAGAAGCTCAAGGGAGACCTTCTGGCTCTCTACAACTACCTGAAAGGAGGTTGTAGGCAGGTGGGGGTCAGCCTCTGCTCCCAGGTAATAAGGGTCAGGACGGGGGAAGCAGTCTCAAGTTGATCCAGGGGAGTTTTGGATTGGATATTAGGACAAATTTCTTCACAGGAAGGGTTGTCATGCACTGAAATAGGTTTCTGGTGGAAGTGGTGGAGTCACTATCCCTGGAGATATTGAAAAGACGTGCAAATGTGGCACTTGGGGACATGGTTTAGTGGTGGACTTGGCAGCGGTGGGTAAATGCTTGGACTGGTAAAAAGTCTATCCCTATCTTTCTTATAGACCCCCTATAAGTATTGAAGGGCTGCAATAAGGTCACCCTGGAACCCTGTGTGCTCCACGCTGAACAGCCCTAGCTCTTTCAGCCTGTCTTTGTAGCAGAGGTACTCCATCCATCTGATCATTTTTGTGGCCCTCTTCTGGACCTGTTCCAACAGGTCTATTATAATGAACATTCTTATAGTCTTTGAGTTTAACTCCCTCTGACTGTGAAACCACAGGAAATTTTTTCCCCTATTAATTAGTCACCCATGGATTACTTTTGTAGGTTCAGAGAGGCAGGCAGTCTCAAGGATTCCTTTCTGGCCAGCAGTCATGGTGGAAAAACGTGAGATTTTTTTCCATGATCAGCATGTGTATCTGAGTTCACAGTCCTCCTTCTGCTAAGAGTGTATGAAATTAATACCGGAGACTCTGGAAATTAAACCTGTGGGCCAGTGAGCTTACTAAGAGACTCCTGATATCTGCTGGGCGAGCAGTTGCCATTGCAGCTCTGCAGAGATAATGTAGCTTGGAATAAGATCTTAGAGTAGCAATTCGTGCTTGCTAAGGTTCCCAGAAGCTGTAAAACATGGCAGAGCTTATGCAGAAAATATATTCCGTTTATAATAACCAGAGAATTAACAGATACACGCTGAATGAGTTTCTGCTACTGGTTCAGACTCAAATGCTGTCTGTTAGTAGGAAGTCAAGAATGGGAGAACTCCAGTGTAGGAAAAAATTGCCGTTAATTTTCATCCTCACCGCTCTTAATAAAGCGGTGTATTAAAACCGTCTAATTGCAACTGAGGACAAAAGAATCTGAGGTGTGTTCTGCTCTAACTGGCAGTTGTTGATGTTAAATATCAAAAGATGGCTTGATAAGCACTACACAGGCACAGAGGCTTAATTAATTCCGAGAAATCAGCAAGTTTTGTCTGTGTCACACTGAAGTAATACTTGTAGCCTCATATTTCCTTTTGTATTTTTCCTGCTGCTCATCAGTCATTTAAAAATAGATTTAATTTTTGAAACTGTTCTTGGTTTAAATTTTGCATTCCCCACCAGATCAAGTTACAGTCCAAGCTCAGATTTTTTTTCTGGAGGAAAAACATCAGCAGTGGAGGCTCCAAATTATGTAAAGAAGTTACGATGTAATAAGTAAGTAATGGCCAGTCTTCGCGAGCAAAGATTTGGGAAAGGTTCATTAACCCTTCGAGCCTGCGCAGTGGATTTTTTAGGTGAGACCCAGCGTGCGCTGAACTGAGCCCACCCTTTAATCCTGAGGTTCATCTGCCGGGGCCGAGCAAAGCTTGGACAGTGGCAGTGAGGGTCTCAGGACGTAGGTTTGTTTAGAGTGACCTTCTCTTAGATGGACTGCCTTACAGGGCTGATGAGCTCCATCTGCCCGGGGGGCTGGGAATCGAACCCGGGTCGCAGCGGTGAGGGTTAGGGTGCAGGACGATGTATAATGTATTTTAATTGAATAGGAATGAAAATTGCCTCTAAATGTGCACTTTTTAAGGGACCTCTTTGTTCTCAAGTGTAAAATTACTTCTTTGGGATTTCTAATGTAGGAGAAATAGTATAATATGGGATGGATTGGCAGTAGTGATACGCAGTGATAAGTCAGGAAGTGAATGTCAGTAGGTGACTAGGAGGAAAGGAATGATTGCCCTATAGAAAATAATATGCTAGTAATCCAAATATATAAATTTATTTGCTAATTAGTGAATGAAATATCCTTTTTTTCATAACTCACATTGCTTAAATTGAATAGTAGATATTGAGTAATTTAAAAGGCAATTTTGTGTGACAAACAGGAGCTTTTACAGGGCAAACCTGTTGCACTGAGACTGTTTTGTCTGTATTAGATTAACATAAGTGCTAACTAGAGATGACAAGCTTGTTTAATTAACAGTGCCATGCTGTTAATCAAATATAACCAGCATGTCTACTGAAAGACAGGCTGAACTGGGGACTTTATTCCACTGACTGTATTGACTAGATCTTCATTACCTGACTTCATTATAGAAGCTTAGATGTTTTATTTAGATGTAACTATTATTAGGTGTTTTAATCTTGAACTATGTCCCATATTGTGTATCTGAGTGTACAGTTCTCTGAAAGAGATAGGGAGGGTATGGTTATCTAGGAGCATGCATGTACCTTCAGTTTGTGTTTAATGACATCATAGGATCTGCTAATGCTGATGAAATTCAAGCTGGAAAGAACAGCATGTGAACCTGTTACTTGGTTTTACTGCCTTGCCTAGAAATTTTATCTGGGTGCCTAAAAACTTCAGTTGGAACTTACTAAGTGTATTTTCCTGAATGTTATATAGTACCTGTAAAAGGCAGACTCTCCAGCAAACTTCATGTAGTAATGGTTGCAACATCTCTGTCTTCACTTTGAAGTGATGGCAAGCCCAGCAAGGTAGATTGACTATAGTTCTGGCACAAGGCACGTACACTATGTTTAGAGAAAGAAGTGCTTACTGTGCCTGGCCTGCCCTATTTCTTGTCAGAAAAATGAAAAAGAGTGTGGGACTGTGTTCTGGTTGTCATGGGCTCAAGCTTCCCTGCTGGGAGAGCTGGGGCTGAGTGCTGAGCATGAGCTTGGGTGTCAGTAGGTTTGTCTGTGATGGGATACTGACAGTGCAGGCATACCTAACAGAAGTAGGAGAAATATCCTTGGATTCTGAACAATTCTGTTACAAAAAAATTCATGTTACTCATATTGCCTACGTGTTTGCATCTGGACACCATAAGTTTCTCTTGACAGTTTTTCTAACCTATAAATATTGCTTTATATTCCCACACTGATGCTGTTTTTCAACCAAGATAAGTGCTTTTCAGTAATTGAACGTTTCTGTTGGGTACCTAAAACACTGTGACTGTTCAGGCTCTAAAACATTATTGTAGAATAATCTTATTTATTTATAAAACCAGCAAAATTTTGGAAATTGACTTTGAAATAGGGGAGAAAAGTAGTTTTAGGACATAAAATGTAATTGATTCTCCCTCTATTTCCAGGTACTGCCATTGGAAAACAGAATGAAGGACACAACACGTTTCCCACAGGCATTGAACATTGGGATGGGAATAGTCATGACCTTGTATATCTCACTAGCCACTCTGGGATATCTGCGGTTTGGGGATGAAGTCAAAGGCAGCATAACTTTAAACCTGCCACAAGATAAATGGTAAGTGTGTATGTGACTTAAAAGTAGTAATCTAGAAGGCATGAATGTTGCAAAGATTATTCTGTGCCTCAGTGCTGTCAGGCTTATAATTGATAGATGCTCAGACTTATAATGTATGTACTGTGCCTGTGCCTTCTACATTAGAGCTATGGTCCTAGCCAGCAATTTGTTGCATATTAAAAGGACTTGAATATGGGGACAGATCAATGATCTTTATTATAAATTATTCCATCTCTAGCAGAAGCTAGTTCCTGGAATGTTCAAGGGCAGAATATGCAGTTTGCAACCAGCTATAACACAGTTGTGAAAACAGCTACTTTTACCTTGGATATCCTGGTAATATCGTGCCTTTTTTTAGTGTAATCACTGAGTTTAGCAGGTAAACAACTGGGATGTAAGACACCAAAGCTGAATGGATTTGTAGTTCAAGTGCAAGTTCATGGATAACATATAATAATGGCTTCCTATCAGGAAAGTGAAGCTTATGCTTGCCAGTGTCTCAAGGATATTATAATTTTTCTTTAGTTTTTTTTATGCTGTGAGAGCTCCACATGTCACATGCTAAAGAAGCACTGAAGACAATTTCAGCTGGTGCACTGTTAGTTCTGTATCTGTCTATGGATGGATATATATACTGTAACTATTAATTTAAAGATAACTCTAAATTTTTTTAGTACTTTTATGTCTGATGGGCCTAAAATTAGGCATATCAGCAGTGCACAAGTATTAAAACTGAAAAGTATTCTAATGTTTTCATTCTAATCAAATAATGAGTTACAGGTTATGTGCTTGCATCTACTTGTTCAATGTCTGTTGTGGCAGCTTATTGAAGTAGTGAAATCTCAAATTATGTGGGGAAAAAAACCCTGCTTTAATGAACTGAGTGCTGACTCGATTTTTACTCTTTGAAAAAGAGGAGAACATGTGTAAAGAAAGTTCTTAATTTTTAGGTGTTACTTTTTCACTTTTTCTTCCTTTTCATTCCTTGGAGTCAGTATGAGCCATGCATTTTTAATATTTTTGTTTAATTGCCTGTCTGATTCCAGTGTTTAATACATGAAAGTATAATAAAATGGGTCTTGAAGGATGAATTTTTTTTGATTGCTAGAATTTTCATCTGTTGCTTGTTTACTTGTTTTGTTTTTATACTACTGTTGTAAAAACTGAGATTTGTCCCTCAATTTTTTTCCATTTTATGGGAAGTTTTTTTGGTTTGTTTTTTTAAGCTTTGGGGGATTTTGTTTTCCTGTTTTGCCTGTGGTTCTGGTTTTTGGAGATATTGCTCACAATATATATTTGTTTTCTTTCGTTGTACATAGATACATGAGAAGTTTAGCAAGACCAAGTGCAAGGCAGGGCAATCGCAGGCATAAATACAAGCTGGTCAGAGAATGGATTGAGACTAGCCCTGAGGACAAAGTCTAGAGGGTGTTTATGGAGAAAAAGCTTAACATGACCCGGCAATGTGTGCTCACAGCCCAGAAAGCCAGCTGTGTCCTGGGCTGCCCCGAAAGCAGTGTGGCTTGCAGATTGAGGGAGGTGATCCTCCCCCTCTACGCTGCTCTTGTGAGACCCCACCAGGAGTGCTGCATCCAGCTCTGGGGTCCTCAGCACAAGAAAGATACTGACCTGTTGGAACAAGGCCAGAGGAGAACCTAAAATAATCATAGGGCTGGAGCACCTCTCCTATGACATGCTGAGGAAGCTGGGGCTGTTCAGTCTGGAGAAAGCACTAGGGAGACCTTAGACCACCTTCCAGTACCTGAAGGGGGCTTACAAGAGCACTGGAGAGGGACATTTTGCAAGGGCATGTAGTGATAAGACAAGGGGGAATGGCTTTAAATTAAAGGAGGGCAGGTTTAGATTAGATATTAGGAAGAAATTATTTGCTATAAGGGTGGTGAGATTCTGGAAAAGGTTGCCCAGAGAAGCTGTGGATTCCCCATCCCTGGAGGTGTTGACGACCAGGCTGGATGGGACTCTGAGTAACATGATCTAGTGGAAGGTGACCCTACCCATGGCAGGGGGGTTGGAAGTAGATGATCTTTGAGGTTCCTTCCAATCCAAATCATTCTCTGATTCTGTGACATTAGAAAAACTCAGGAATATACAAATATTTAATGCATCCACTCTGTCTGTGTGATGCATCTAAAAGGGAAAATACTTTTATTTCGAATATTACATGGCAGTGCTTGTTGTTTGTAAGATTAGTGAAAAGTTTGTTTTAAATGGTAGCTCTGGGTTTATTTGTGCCTTAAGAGAAGTGCTCTTAAAAAAGCAGGAGTGAGAGGAATGTGGAATAAGGTAACATTGCTACCCACTGTCACTTTTTATTGCGCTCGTGCAAGCAACACGATGAACTTTATTCTGCATCCCTGCTATCTAACAGAGCTATTCACATATGAGTTTTCAAGTAGCTCTTGGCTACAGTGCAGATGTGATGATGATGTTTATCCTGATAGCTTTGCAGGACTAATGCACAGAAAGAGATAATAAAAGAGATGGAAACTGGTGCTCTAAAGGGTAGAAAATTGGCATTCTAAGTGTAATAACCTCAAAACTACTCAGGGCACATATCTACAGTTAACAAAGTCATCTGTTTTTGTCTTACCCTGGATAGCACCCCAGAGCGGCAAACAAAATTTGGAGAAGCAGCTCATGGGTGCACCCAGGGGTTGTGATGTACGATGCTGTTGCTGTGCCATACTGTGGGTCTACCTAATACAATACTGAGGGGCAAGAGGTTGCAATCACTGTGCTAACAAAACAAATTTCCAGTGAACAGTATTTTGGTATTTGGTCCTCACATAAAAAGCCAGTAAGTTGCCAGTTTGTACTAGAGAAATGCAAGGAGCAGGGGAGGTTTTTATAAGAAGATGGTCATGCAAAAGAGCCTGGAATGTACCTAAGCAGTGAGACTTGGCTTATGTGTTTCATTCCAGCTGGACAACCCCTGCTTAAAAATAAGCCTTTCCTGGTAAAGAAAGTTAAATTAGAATTCTGCTGCTTTCTGAGTTTTATTTGATGTCCTTGCAGATGAATTGACTGGAAGGCATGCACAGGCCCTAGACTGGTTAAGTACTTAAGTTTAATTTAAATAGAAGACTGCTCATGTTCTTAAAATCATCCTGCTAGATTGGTGCTTTTGGAGGAACCACTTAGTGCAGTTCTAGTTTAGGTGCTGTTTGATGGTACAAATTATCACTCAGCATAATATATTATTTAGAAGATGTTGAAAATGGACTTTAAGAGAAGTTTTCAGCTTGTTTTTGCTGATCTTTTACAACTCTTTTCTGGGATCAAAGAATTCTGGTTTATTTCATAAGTAGCATTTCTCTTTTTACATACAGTTAGCTGCTTGGAATCTTAGTAATTATTGTCATGTGACCATCAGTTTGAACCAAGTCCTGCAGTATTTGCAAATGTAGATTATGGAAAATTGTGCTTTAGTACTTGGTAGTGTCCTTGGTTTGGGTCTCATAAAATCATAGAGTGGTTTGGGTTGGAGAGGACCTTTAAAGATCATGTGTTCCAACTGCCCTGCTGTGAGCAGAGACATCTTTCACAAGACCAGGTTGCTCCAAGCTCTGTCCAACCTGGCCTTGAATGCTTCCAGGGATGGGGCATCCACAGCTTCTCTGGGCAACCCATGCCCGTGGCTCACCACCCTCATTGCAAAAATTTTCTTCTTTGCCCATGGTTAGTTCTCATCTTCTTGAGGCTGAATATGAAGGTTCTTTTCACCACCTGTTCTTTGTTAAGACATCAGTGAGTCTTTGTGCAACAGTTCCCTGACAGTGAATCCCAAAGGTTAACTACCATACAAACACTGTAGTATATTGAAGTTCAACGAGGCTTTACATGGTACTAGTTAAAATGAAAGCTTAGTGTAATTAATTCCCTATTTGGTCTAACTGTATTGTTATGCAAGTTTTGTTACAGTACTTGCCAATGTTTCTACCCTTAAAAGAGGTACAATGAAATGTCAAATGTAGAATTAAAAAGAGGTTTAGCACATATGAATGATTTACATTTTTATTAAAAGGTAGCCTAAGGAGCCATCTTTATCTGATTGGAGTATAATATTAAATTACTAGTAAAATCACCTCAGTAACATAAAAATTGTTTTCTAATTTGGAAGGTTTTAATCCTTGTAGATCTATAGAAAATTAGTTACTGTAAGGGAGACACTCACTTTGAACAACTGTGTATTTAAAGTTTTGAATCCTGTTTTTGAGTATCTTTTAAAAATTGTTTTTGTAAAGGTTTGGGATGGTCTGAAGCCTGAGGATTAGAGGTGAATTGTGGATAGCGGGTCAGTTTTTCTATTTTTAATTGGCTAAAATCCATCTAAGCTTCTGGAATAAGGACAGTCATGCAGAGTTGATAGAAAAGTGACTCTTTTTTCCTTGAAATTTCTAAAAAGAAGTGTGTCACAAAAGCTGTGGCTTCTAAACTAGCTACACCATTATGTCACCACAGAAATTGATATAATAGTTTTTTTATCCATTTGAATATGCCTTTGGGGCTTCACTGAGTTGTGTACAGTGATGGTCAAACCTTTGTTACAGATATTTTAGAACCTATTAGTCAAAATGTATTTTTAGTTGAAGCATATTTTTTCCCTCATATCATAGAATCATAGAATGTATATATGTATATAATATATATATACATACATATATATAAAATAATTACTTCTGTGTATTTGTTCATCTAAAAAAAAACCCCTTATTGGTTTGTTAGCAGTCTTTTAGTATCATAAAAAATGGAAAACTTGATGACCTAGCTTGTAGCTGTGAGATGAGAAACACCTAAGACTGAGCTGAAAGGGCTATTCAAGTTCACCAGCAGTTCACCACTTCAGTGTTCAAAACCATTACTGACTGTGTGTTCAACACATCCTTCAAAATGTTGAAGGAAGGATGATGGAGGCATCCTGTTGTGGTGGTGAAGAACTGAACTGTATGGATACAAACTTTGCCATGTTGTGCCATTTGGCCACAGGACAAGGGGCCAAAAGCAGTCGTGGCTGGACTTTATTTACTTGTACAGATACAGACTGTGACACTCAAAGAGGAAACATTTGAGTGACCCCTGCCAGGCTTTGAGAGATACAGAGATGAAGATCCTACTTGTTCTTTCCTTACCCTTGCTTCTGTTTTTTATTTTCTTAAGCATGTTGCCTTTGCTTCAGTTCAATCTGTCTTTAAGGACTGAAGCAAAAAAGAAAAATGTTGTTTATGAGAAATATTCCCTTGCTCATTTGTGAACACACAATACCCCATGGCAAATGAACCAAACCCTTACCCAAAGTTTTAATAATGTCCTTAGTTGCATTCTTAGAAAGAAAATCATGTGAAGAGACTCATAATTTCTATCAGTTGACTGCAAGCAGACCTATGACAAATGCTTGTAGTTTATGCAGCATGGATTTAAACTTCATCTAAATTTAAAACTGTTGATAGTGTGAATAATTCTTTGTCACTTGTTTACTCAGCCACACGTAGCAGTGATAAGGGTGTCTGCACTTCCTGTTTCTTGAAGATTTACTCTAGTTGGCTTATCTTCTGCGATTTCTTAGGCTGTTGTAATGTAACATTCGTGTTTGCGGGGGGAAAAGTGTATTTTTCACATATATATATTTAGGCTTAGTGCCATTGGCAAGCTGATTTTTTTATGAAGAGTTTGCAACTTACGTGAATGTGTGTAAATGTTTCCAATAGGTTATATCAGTCCGTAAAAATGCTGTACTCCTTTGGGATTTTTGTGACCTATTCGATTCAGTTCTATGTCCCTGCGGAGATTCTCATTCCAGTTGTCACTTCCAGAGTGAAGCAGAAGTGGAAGTTACTCAGTGAGCTTGTGGTGAGAGCACTATTAGTCTGCTCAACCTGTAAGTATGTGCAGAACATCCATAAAAAATCTTGCTGTTACATTTTGTTGGGACTTGCTTATTTAAACATGTGTTGTTGTTTATTTTTCCAGAGGCTAGCAATCCTGAAATTTTGCTTCAACAATTCACTATATTTTGACTTACATGAACAAAGGAATCTAATGCTGTATTTGTATTTTAACCACACTTTTGTAGGTGTGACAAATTATTTGACAACCATATCTTTTGCCAGTAATACCCTAAAGCTGCCAACTTGAAATTTATTTGAAAAAAAATTTTTTTTTTAAGTGAGACACACATTGCTGATACATGTCAATGTTTATCTATTGATCTGCAGTACCTACTTGTCATGTAGAAATCCTTTCTCTGTTTTGTTGATCTGAGGATGAAGCCTAAAGGTGTGTTGGTCTGTATCCATTAAATTGCACTGACAAGCATGGATGCTTGGTCACAAGAGTTCATGAAGGGAGACTTATTTTAGGTGATAATGCTCCAAAGTAGTTTTGCATCTCTGTCCTCGCTGCCTATTACTCCTGTTGTTTCTCTCGCTTGTCCCCTAATCTTTCCATCCCTCCTATAAGCTCATTGAGATATCACAGATGCTAGTAGAAGTCAGCAGTGCTCATGGAATGGTGAGTATGGTCTCATCTAGGAATCGATACTTCTGAAGATAATAAACTGTGGAGGTAGTTAACTCTGTCTTTACAGCTCCCACCTGAAGTGTTTGAATAACATAGGATGCTTTTCTAAAGGATGTTATAAAAAAATTGCTTCTAGTACAAAGTTGACCTCTCCACCATGTGTACTGAAATGAGCTGTTATTACCTTAAAAACAATCAAAACTGCTAAACAAGCAAAAAAATGCTAAACCTTGTTTTTTAGGGAAAATGTTGATTAAAGAGAAGAGTTTTGGTTTGTTGTCTCAGTTCTCTTGGTGAATGCTGACCAGTAACTCATGTGCTGGATGACAGCTAAGAATTGTTGTCCAAGAAAACTTGAACATCTAGTGAGACCTTCTTAAGGTCAAGCCAGTTGAGAAAATCTGGCTTGTTTTTCTATCAGTGCGATTTAATTGCTACAGTAAGCAAAGGCAAATACCATCAATCTAATAAATTGCTGCTCTGAAAATACATCTGCTATGTGGAATTGAAAAAAAACAACAAACAAACCCCAAAGGTTTTCTTGAGTAATGAAGTGCATATCTCCTGAAGCACCATATAATCTGTGTTCTGCTTCAGGTGATCAAGGTGTTAAGATTTTTAGATTGAAGATATATGAATAGCTCCTGTAATACCTGTGAGTCATCTGTATCAGAATGCTTCAAGGTCCAAAATTCTTTTTTTATTGTCTCTCTGAGAGATCATTAGTAAGATCTCCAGTCCTCACTGCACCTTCAACTTCCACTCACTCTGTATTGCCCTTTATGTGCCCCTTATCACCTGCCCTGGTAATGGTACCACAACAGATTTGAAAAGCTAAGAATCTTGTAGATCCAAACTCTTGTTTACAGCCAGAGGTTTTAAGAGTTTATTGGTGAAAGATATTTTCATGTATGTGTGTAATGAGAAGAGCCAGTGGTGAATAGGCTTAAAGGCACATTTCCCTGTTGGACTTAGGAAAATTATAAATGACTTCATGATATTCAGCCATAGTATTTTGTGGGTTTTTTGGCCTTTTTAATTACTGAGTAGCCTGGAAAGAGAAAACTGGGGAAGTCTCCAAGAAAAGAAAGTAGAAAAACAAAGAAAATTTGTTATATATATGTAAAGATATATTTATATAAAATATACAGCTATCTATATAAAGATATAACATTAGAATCCTACATATTTGTTTCTTTGAAAAAAATATGTAATAAAATTGGACCTGTTTTATACCATTGAAACTTACCTGTGATATGAATCTCTAAAATGGACCTACTGAAGTGCTACAGATTACTGGGATATTTGAGGATTGTTTGCTGCAAGACACAGAAAAGTAAAATTAAAAGTTTGCTCTTAAATGTTGGGTATTTGCCAGGCTGTTCTGTGATATATTTTTCGTAGTTGTTGTTTCAGGATTTTTTCAAGGGGTTTCTACAAATTGTATGTATACAGTATCTATAATACCTTTTCACCAACATTTGTATAAGCTCCCATGCTTACATTCACCTTCTCTTCATCATTTTTCATCAAAGCACTGGTTTTATACAAAATTGATTTAAATAGCTTCACTTTTCACTTAGCTTCACTTTGTCTAAGTGCAGAACACAGTTCCTAAAATGATTCAGAAAGCATTTCTTTAATGGAAAGTAAAAATCCAAAACCTTTTCAATTGAATTTTAGAAATTAAGTGGTTTTGATATTGGTGACGGAATATGTTGTAATGTCTGGACCATTCAGAGGTCATACACTGATTAAAGGGACTCTGCTTGCTTGAAAATAATTCTCTGAGAATAGAAGCTTCAGCTGTGTTGCTATTAATGCATTAGCTTTTTAAGAGAAGACTTGAAAAATCAGTTATTACTGATTTTTTGGGCTTTTGCATTACTCAAATTATGTAATGATTTTATTGTTACAGTATATACGAAACTTTGTTGGGAAAAAGCCTTCGGGCTTGAGACGGAGAGGAATGTACCCATCCCTTGGGAAGTTCATGTTTGGGCTGAGTGGTTGTTGCTCTGGAAGTAGGTCAGTCTTGGCTCGCTGAGCCATTCTCAGGGAGCAGTGAGATCATGTGGACTCTTTCTAGGCAGAATTGGTGGTTAAAAGTATTCAAAAGACTGCTTTTACCATACCGGAAAGGAAGTTACAGAAGGTTTTAGAACAATGTTCACAGTAGCTGTCTGAATTTTCACATCTGTTCTTAGCATCTTCTTCCAGACTGTGACACTCTCTATTATTCGAAGTAAAAGCAAATATTTTTGCTGAGACAGTACTAGATTGGCAAAAGCATGCTTTTCCTTTGGTTAGCCCCTTGCCAGTACTTTCTGGGCAAGGACACAGTGAGTGCAAATGATTTGGCAGACTTTGTTCCTACTGCTTTTTTCCCATCCTCCAGTTTACTGTTAAAATAGCATGTCAGTATTGGATGGGTCAGATACTTTTGAATTTTAAGGAAAAGGTGGGAAACTGACAGTTTCCATATTGTTTGATACTGAAGACTTCTTTCTATTCCATTTGCAAGAGACATACTGTATTTTGGATTTCGGATTTCACTGTATAGGGTGTAGCAAGTTAGAAGATCCCACCGTACTGAATAAGTCTTGACACTAAGCCATTGTTTTCCAAACTGAGATGAGCACCTTTGCACTGAGTGGAGGGATGTGCTAGGCTTGTGTTAAAAGTCCAGCCTAGAGCTGGAGACTGGGTTTGGTAGTTGTTGAAAGCAGGTGGGAGGTAGACTTGTAGCTAACTAGGCAGAAATAGGATTGAAAGTTGGACTAAGCATCACTGTACTGGGCAAAGTTAGAAATTAGGAACACATACATGTAGAAGGAATAGGACAAGAGCCACCATGGGATTTGGAAAGTGGTGAGAACAGATATGCAAGTCTAGTATTTTGTGGATGCTCATGAGCTGCCTTTGGATTGTACTTAGAAGTTCATCACTACAGGATTGCTCCATGTAGGTGCCAAAGGATCTCCAGCAGCTGTCTGTCTTTTGGTCTCTGCCTGGTGACTTGCCAGTTTTGTCCTGTGGTGTGTCAGTTCAGCTCACTGTGTTAGTTACAGACACTCCTTTTAATACATAAGAGGACAGAAAATCTATCTGATTGTGCTCAGACAACCACATCCTTGTGGTTGCTGTAGGTTCTGTTACTGTTGCATATGCATTTTTATATGAACTGTAAGTGCTTTACATTTCTTTATCTCACAGGTTTTTGCTTAGTGTTTGTGGTATTTGAATGTCAAATAACTTCAGTACTTTGAAATATTTGTCAGGGTGGAATTTTTATAATGTTGAAAGTATTTACCCTGATTTTACATATTTAAAACACATGTCACAAAAGTACTTTAGATCTGTGTTTGCTGCATCTACTTGGGTAAAGATTGTGCATCAAACACATGGTTCAGCCCTTAGCCTGTTACCTCATAGGATTGTGGCTCCAGCACATTGGGATTAACTATTAAAGTGTGAAACTTTTTTAGTTTACTTCTAAAGGAACTGGACCATCCTGGATGAATTTATTAAAGATTTGTAAATATCATTGCACAGAATGATATGTTTTGAGAGGCCAGCTTGCCTGGGTAACCAAATAAGTTCTGTTTAGCGCATTGCTTGAAATAAACTGTCATTGTATCATGACAGCTTTTTACTCTCCCTTGCTTATCTGGTACTGAGATCATGGTGACTCCAGGAGGGGAGAGTTTGGAGAGGTTTTGTTGAGCTTAAGCAATTAATTCTGGGTTACCAGCCTCAAAATACGCTGAGCACTTGGAGATCGAGGGATCTGCCAAGCATTACTCAGTATTGATGCTAAATGGCATCAAACATTCACTTCTGTTGAAGTGAAATGTTGCAGTAAAAATTGTGGTTAAACAGTTTAGGATGGGGCAAGACTGCAAGTGTCTAGTAGAATGGAAATGTAAATATCTCATTTACTGTCTGGCAAAGGCTTACTCATGTCTTCTGACCAAAGGGCACTGAAATTAAATGTTCTTGCTGGATGTGTTGGAAGCAGTATGGAAAAAAAAAAGGCAGTATTGAGGAAATATTTCATCTGAAATGGTGGCAGCAAATCCTTGAAGAAGTAAAGGAATAAAATAGAAAAGAACAATTTAAGCATTACTTTCATTTTTAAACAGTAAGTTGTGTTTGATTTATTAAAGATAGTAGTGAAAGAATTTTTTTTTTGTGGATTGGTAAAATCTGCTGAAGAACATCAGAAAATATAATGGAGAAAACCGGAGTCAAGCATTATAGTATCTTTCATCCACATGAGAAGTATAGATTATTATTTTTAATAGCTTAATTTAGGGCTGTATTCCTGTAGCCAAGGTTCTCCTGTTAAAATGAAAATGAAGAAATATTGCATTTGCATATGGATGTGGAGATACCTTTGAATTGTCAATTGTTTTGATTATTAACTTGAAAGAAATTTAATTGAAGGGCTAATCCAGCTGAGTATGAATGGAGCTGTTAGTGAGCTGTTTGTGATTAACTCTGAGCTTAGTGTGTAATTTTACCAAAAAAAGAATAAATGCATTATTCAGTTGAATTTATCAATTACACTTTTCTAAATATTTTCCCATTTTAACTGTACCTGGTTTTAGGAAAGAACAGTTCTTCTTGCTGAACAATTAGACACAAGATAAGATGATACTTACCAGATGTCTTACACTGATTAATGACATTGTGCCAATAAAATACCTGCTTAGAGGAACTGCAGGAGAGGTAACATGAAGGAGTTTTAAGATCTATATAGATAGGATAAAGTGATAATCGTTTATGCAGAAGTGGCTTAGGTATCAGTTGTTAGACACAGATTTTTTTTTTAATAAGAGTTTGTTCATTTTAAAGGGTAGTATTAATGACAGAAAAATTGAATAGGTAAATTTGTGAATTAAGAAACTTTCAGATGGGATTTAAAATAATTGCGTGGACTGCTAACAGGCCCCTCAAAGTGGGCTTAAACACAAAAAAGGAATAAAATGAAATATTTGATTAATTCAGTTAATTTTTTTCCAGTATGTAGTGTTTTTTTGGTTGGTTTTTTTTCTTTTTTTTTTTTTTTTATACAGGTAGCTGGTGAGCATAATTCTTACTTCCTAGTAGAAGATCCTGTGCTGTGGTTTTGAGACATGAGAATAGGTATCATTGTGTGGTTTTTGGACATATCCTGAGGTATGAGAAATAGATTTGTGAAATCAGTTTCTTTCAACCTTTTTGAGTCTCTCTCCAAAAGGAATAAATCTCTTAACTTTAGGGTTATATCCTGATTATGGTTCCTTTCTTTTGATGTGGCATATGAGTTTTGTCACATCTTATGAGTAGCTGTTGGTGTAGACATCGATTTATGTACATATAATAGCTAATATTCTTTTTAATAGTCCAAATATTATTTTTTAACCTGATTTTAATATATGGATACCAGATGTCTATGGTTTATAATTAACGGTTAGATGTTGTGGATTATTTAAATAGTGCTAGAAGTGTTTCTTATTGCTGGTTGTTCTAGAGATGTTAACTTGTGAATATATTTCCTAGATGTAACCCCAGTGACCAACAGAATGGTCTAATGTTAGTATTCATCATTACAAATTCTTATATTTTAAAAGCCTTAAATAGAAAGTTAAGCTGTGAAGTAAATTCCTGAAAAGTTAAAGCAAGTCCTACTTTATCTGTTTTGGGTTTTTTAATTACTTCAGTGTAGGTTGGATTTCTTTCTGTTCAGGTGTTAATTAGAATTCTGTGAGTAAACTTAGATTTTGAAATGCAGCTCTTTTGCAAAAAAAATTTGTAGGTATGGGACAGGAAGAAAAGTATGGGCTTGAATACCTCACTGGAGATATTCAAGAACTGTCTGGATGCAATCCTGTGCAGTGTGCTCTAGAATGGCCCTTCTTGATCAGGGAGGTTGGATCTGATAACCTACTGTGGTCCCTTCCAACCTGACCCATTCTGTGACTCTGATTCTGTGATTTGTGATTAAGGTGAAAAATAGAAAATTTTGAAAGATTTGTAATAAGAAAATTGAAAATATCCGTAATAACTTTGTCATCAAATTTTTTTGGTTTTTCTTTTTGAGACATTTGTTTCGTTGTTTACAGAAAAAAAATCAAGAACTAAGTAGTTTAGCAGTGCATTTATGTATTCTGAAGCAGTTAATCCTATTCTGGGGCAATACTTATTTTTAGATTTTTAAAAATTATTTTAATTATTAATATATTTAAAAACAATGTATGATTCCTTTTTGCAGTCTCCTTTGCAAACTGTATTCATTTATGGTGAAATGCAAGTTGGAGATTCATAATACCACTTACAGTGTGCACCTACATGTCAGTCCGTGCTCTGAAGTCATGCATGGCATATGTTGCAAAGTACTGTGTGGGTTTGGACTCATCTAGTTTAGCTTGCAGGACTCTGTTCTCCGTATTTCTGCACCTGCAATGGTCATGCTAACTAGACTCCTTCTAAGGAGCAGAGAGGAACACATGCTTGGAAGGGCACAATTTGTCTGATATAGCTTACATATTTGCTTCGGGACAAGTTGAACTGGGCCAAAGAAGTGCTTATTTTCTTCTCTGGCGTGTTTGAAGGAATAGATGTGAGAAACATATCTAGCATTTGATATGATGGATCATTTGCAGGAAGAGTGAGGTGACACTGAATATGATGCTCAGTTGCCTGCAGTTCAATCCCATTTTCCCTTTCTAATAATAATTTTAAGACTAATCAAGCCTGCTTTTATTTTTTTGTTCCCCTTTTTTTTTTCCATCTGTGTGCTTACAAATATAATGAAGGATGATATGAAAATTCTTTGTCCAAATAACAGATAAATATATATATTTTTATATATATATTCTCTAGCTCATGGAAAGCGAACTTTATATTGGTAATATTTCAATAATTCATGCATTTGTGTCTCTCCATTATTTCAGCCCATTATATCTTTATGAATGAACTGGCTTAGAAGAGGAAGTTACTCTTGGGTTTCTTCTTAAATGTCGTACATGAGCCAGTGATTT